CCCGGTGCTGCTGAAGGTGAAGCCAGAGGCCTGGCAGAGGAAGGTCATGGACCCCCCGGGTGTCTGGAGGCCCCCTCCAGACCCAACTGCAGCCCTGGGGAGGGGGCGGAAGGGGAGACCTCCACCGCCCTGCTCTTCCTTGCTTCGGGCTGGAAGCGGCCATGGTGGGTCTGGGCATGAGATGGGCTCTGGGGTGGGGGCAAGGGTCTTGGCTCGGGGCCAGGGTTTTGGAAGACGCTGGGCTACGGGGGAACAGCCCTCCCAGGTAGGAGCCGGCCCCACTGACCCCCTCCCCGGGCCCCGATGAATTTTGGGGGGGGGCGATGCCGGGAGCCGTTGACTGAATTCTGTCCTTCCTCCCTCCCCAGGGCTGCGGGCGGCCATGCAGCTGGTCGAGTCCGGAGGGGGCCTCCAGCCACCCGGGGGGTCCCTCACCCTCCTCTGCCAGGCCTCCGGCTTCACCTTCAGCAGCACCCACATGGTTTGGGTGCGACAGGCGCCCGGGAAGGGGCTGGAGTTCGTCGCGGGTATTCAAAGCGATGGTAGATGGGCAGGCTACGCGCCATCAGTCCGACCTACCCCAAATCCTGACCCAAAGCCCAGGCCCTTCCACCAAACCTGGGTGCTTTGTACTGACCCCACAGCCCTGCACCGACCCCAAAGATCCCCACCCTGCTCCCCCAATTCCCAGCCTCTTCCCAAACCCCCATTGCTCCTGGCCCCGCGCTCACACATCCCGGCTCTCTCTCCCAGCATCCCCGCATCCTCCCGACACCCCTTGCCCCCAGCCTGAGCGCCCCTACCCTGCACCCCAACCTCCCAGCGCCCTCCTGATGCCCTGCAGCAGGCACCCACCCTGCCAGGGCACCCAGACCCTTGCCCCCAGCCCAAATCCCTGCCCTGCCCCATGATCCCTGTCCTGAGCCGTGCCCACCATGGGCTCCCCCTTCACCTCCCGCAGCTCCGGCACGGGATGGGGGCGACGGGAACCTGGGAAGGGTCTGGAGTGGGTCCGGACATCCCCAGTGGTGCTGGTGGTGGTGGAACAGAGCAGGGGGTGGTGGTGGCAGCACCCAGCTGGTTGAGGAACAGAGGATTTGGGCACCATGCAGGGGTCCAGGCTGGGGACAGGACTCTAGGGAGATGCTGGGAATTGGGGGAACAGCGCAGGGAGGTTCTGGCTTTCTGGAAAGAGTCCTGGCTCCATGCAAAGGGATCTGGGAAGATGCCGAGATGTGGGGGACAGCGCTGGGGTCGGTGCCACCACCAGCACCAGCGTATTTGGCGCAGTAGTAGGTGGCCGTGTCCTCG